CTGTGTCTGCGTATTGTACAAACTTCGTTAAGTGTTCGTTTGGATCCTCAGTTGCATTTCCTGAGAATTGGTTTTGTTGTACCGCTGACAGCAATGATGGTTTCAGCTCAAAATCGTTTCGAGTAATAGCTGGGGCAGCAATGCTACTTCTAGGCTCCATCTGAGAGGGTGTAGCGTATGCCTTCAGCGGTTTGTTTGAAGGTCCTTCAACCATGTTTGATTCTTCTTCGGATTTGGGAATGGGAGTGAGAGGATCTGGAATGTTATGTTTGAGTTGGTACTCAATGATTCGGCTTCTTAGATGTAAGAAGCATTCTAGTTCTGCGACTGAAGGTTTCAAGATATTGCCTTGTGGGCGATTACTTGGCATACAATCGACAACACTAGTAAAGGAAAAATGAAAATAATTAATCTAGTCTATACGGCGTAACAGAAGGTTACACTATTGACTAAACGGGTCCCCGGCAACGGCGCCAAAAACTTGATCGCGACTTTCTACGTCTAATACAACTTAACTGCAAGTGCACAGTCTATCGCGTAGTAATAATAGATATCGATCCCACAGGGACTCGTAATCAAACTAGTGTTCTCGGGAGTTACTATGTTTAGCTAGGTAGATAATGCTTAAGGGAATAAGATTGTCACTAAAGGGAACTAATGGTATTTAAATTATAATTACGTGAATCGATATGTAGTAATTATGTTTTTCGGGGATTTGACAAGTTACCGGTATATGAAATATTTTTCAGAGTTTATTTAAGCAGAAAATAGTGATCTGAAGACTCTCGTCTCACGATGGTTATTGACGCTAATCATAATTCTAAGGGCCAAACGTACGCTTTCGTGTCCCATTCGGGGTTAAAAGTATTTTTTGGAAATCTCTAAGTTCTAATTCATTTTAAAGTGCTTTCGTTGTTATTAAAATGGATGACTAATGTTTACTATCTGGTCTTGCCGCAGCTTTCGCTTGTTGGTTCGTACCTTAATTAATTTCCCACTTTCGTGGCAAAACTACTTTTAAATAAGTTCTCGCTTTCGCGACGAAGTTTATTCAGTAAATTAATTTAAACACTCAGACCATAAACAACTTTTGAAGAAGATAGTTTTCAACCAGTTATTATCAAATCCCTTCCGAATTATTATTACATATCGATTACTCGGATTTAGCTAGACATGGATTTGGGAAAGGTAAAACATAAATAAAAACAATAAATAATAGCATGCATCATAATAGAAACTGGAATTACGATTAAAATGAGAAACCTGTAAATATTCCAATTGACCTTTGGGCAGATCCTCCACAAATGTTGGCAGGATTCTGGTCTTTGTGCCAATTGATCGTACAAGGGAAATAAGAATTACAGAAGGAATGAAAGGCAACAAAAAATAGGAAAGAAAATAAAACTGTTTGCTCTGGAAATGAAATTGGGCAGCACTTCGTTATCTGAATGCGGCCCCCTCTTCTCAGCTCCCCTCCTTCCCGTTTTATAGAAATAGAATTCTAACGGTTATAACTTGAAGAAGGTGGACTTTGAGGCATAATTATCAGGGAGTAGTGGTCCACTATTTGGAACTTGGAACTGCTTCTTTCATGTGCATTTGAAGTTGGGCGTTTTTGCCTGCATGACGGTCGTCATGATGTGTGACGGTCGTCATGGAGCTGTGACGGTCGTCACAGCAGCAAAATCAGCATTCTGCGTTTTTCATGTTGTTTTCATCCGGTTTTCGTCCATATTTCATCTGAGATTGCTTCTTTTCTTCATATTGCCTTGTTTAGACATGATCATCAAATACCTGCAAAGTATCAGACAAATAACACGGAAATAACCCGAAATCGGATCGAAAACAGTTAAACATTAGTTGAATTATGCATCAAAATATATATACGATTTTGTGTTGTCACATGTCAGCAATGGTTTCCCCTTGCTCCATGAAAAAGAGATCAAACTCTTGTGTTAATGTGTTGATTCTAGCCAACTTAACATCGTTCGTCCCCTCATGGGCGATTTGTAGTGAATCCCACATGGCCTTAGCAGTAGGACAATGTGATACACGATAGTATTCATCTATACCTAATGAGGAGATTAAGATATTTTTGGCTTTCCAATCATAATTGTATTTTTTCTCATCGTCATCGGTCCATTGAGGATAACGTTCCATATTTTTTTGTCTATGGAGTTTATGTGCACCCGCATACAGTCTTTCCAATAACTATAATTTTCACCGTTGAAAATGGGAGCTCTATTGTACGCCCCTTTTGGTTCGTTAGCCATTTTCTATCAACGTTGTATTTGAAGCACCGAGTAACCGGAGCTCTAGATACCACTTGTTAGACTATGGCACAGATCTATAAGGGGGGGGGGGGTTGAATAGATCCCAATTAAAAATTTGAGTCGGCGCTACCAAATTAAAAATTGGTTTTGAAGATATATTTTAAGTGCGGAAGCGGCCGAGGAAAATATAGTCTAAAACGAACGGTTATTGAAAAACCGGATATGCGTAAGCCTTTGGATTAATGACAATATGGAAAAGAGAATCACAACACTAATCACACTTATCAATGATCTAATTCACTTGTTAGGATTCCTAGTTCCAATGATTTAAAGAGCAAACCAAAACTAGATACACAAGTAAGATAATTTTGGTTTAGGCAATTTGTCAAACACTTGGTGTGCAAAACACTCCAAGTGATATTTATGTTGAGTAAGTGATTCCAACTAGCCTAGTACAATGTCTTATTGTACTTTGGATTCAAAAACAGAGTTTTAACCTCTTACTCAATTGATATCACAGTTTGACAATAGTGCTTATACAAAAATCACTTATTTTTAAGCTAAACCGTAAATGCTGAAAAATAGAGAAGACAAGTATTTGGTGAGGCAGTTCCCCCGTCGTCCTCGCTTCGGGGTACGTCTGCCCTCAATTCTAAAACTAGAATTGAGATAGATTTGATAGATATCACCTGTTGAATGTAACAGTTTATACAAGAATTGAACATCAAATATACAACAGAAATCTCAAGACGTTGAATGTTGCTTTCACTCCTTGCCCCTTGATTCAAGATGAATCAAGTCCTTCGGTCGTTGTTGATAGACCTCCGATTCCAGGCACCTTATTGAATAACCCGCTGTTGTTCAAACCTTCGGCTCCGGCTGATCTCAACTGCAACGAATCGAACTCGAGATCTTCCCTTCAATATCACTGAATCCGCTACTAGACTGTTGAAGAACACCTCTTCACAATCACCTTCGCTTAGTTGACCCTTGATGAAGAATCTCGTCCAAAAACCCCTAAAATTCAAACCAATCTTGGAGGATAAAACCCTAACAATTTTATTCAAGAAAGAACCTGTCACAAGCTTCAACCCGAACTAGATTACCCAATCTAAGCTTCGAGCCTTATCACCTTTAATCATTCACAATGCACTTCAGAAATGGCTGTGTGTAATTGATGTGTTGTGAGATGTTTGAAGATGAAGATAAAGAATCTTGGACACCTATTTCACTATTTCTTATTCTTAAACATATGAATCAGTTTTTATCAAATGTTAAAATGACATAAGTGGTTGAACATATATATAGTACCAGACCAACCAAAGAATAACAACTTTTCAAAAAGTAGAGGGAATCACTTAAAAACTGTATTTCCGCGCGAACGGTCGACCGCAGCAGGTCGGTGCGTCGACGCATAGCTTGCGTATTTTGGAAATCTGCAAAATGTATCAGTATGCGTCGACCATACAGTCGGCGTGCGCTGACCCGTTGAAAATTATTTCCTTCATGCGCCGACCCTATGGTCGACTCATCCCTTCATGCGCTGACCAGTGGAAAATGCACTGATGCATGCGCCGACCCTATGGTCGACTCATGCCCTGCAAACCTGCAAAAATTGATCTTCTTGTGGTTTTTCATGCCTCTTGTCACGACCACATTTTATCTACCCATATTATATTTATTATAACAGTTTTTAGACAAATATAAAAGGATATGGTAAGTGATATGTTGCATTTGTTTAGTAGATTTTGAGTTTATAATTGCCAATTCATCCATGGTTGTAATTCGTCATCATCGAAACTTATATCGAGTGATGTCTTGCAGACTCGTGTGCTGTGTGGCGATTTGACTCCACAAAAGCTATTTCAAATAGTTTTTTTTTTATAAAAATCATTTTTCAAATACAACTTTTTAAAAAAATTACGATTTCGACTATGTTTTAATCTTTAATAATGTATAATTTTGTTATACAATATCAAAATTAATTTTTTTAATTCAGAAAAAACAAATTAAAAAAAATTTATAATATTTTAAAAATACTTTTATAAAAATTATTTTTAAAAATACATAAAAAAATAGAAAAAAAGAAAATGTATTGATTGTAAATTTTTTTTTTACACGACAACTAATGAGAGACATGCATCACAATAAAATATATTTTTATTTGAGACTAATTGTTATGCATTGTCAGTGTAAAAAATTTTACAATGTCAATGCATCACAACCATCTTTTTGTATTATTTTTAAAATGATTAAAATAAAAGTCAAATATTTTAAATAAATTAACGATTATAATTAATTTATAATGTAATAAAAATTTACACTATGAGTGCATATCAATTAAATTTTTTTTTTATTTTTAAAAAATTGAAATGACATAGCAAATGTTAAAATTTTAATTGATTATGTCAAAAATTATTTTACAATTGACAATGCAACTATCTTTAGACTAAAAAAATCTATATTTTTTTAAATTATTAGATAAAAAAGTATCGTGAAGAATAAAATACGAAAACAAATTTTATCCTTATACTTTTTAGCGTAAAATAAATTTAAAATCTACGCGTCTAAACTACATTTAATCCTTATACTTAGGATCCAACACGAGAAGAGGATAGACGCAAATACGCTGTCGTTTAATACTAACCCTTTAGGTCATTTCTCTCTTCCAACAACATCCTGTCCCGACTACAACACTGCCCTTTCTCTCCGTCAAGCTCAATAGCCATGGCCTTTCTCGCACGCGGAGCCGCATCTTTAAGTCGTCTTACTGCAACCGCTTCCAAATCTCCGATTCAACTTGTCCACCGCCGCGGCCTCGCCGGAGCCGCAGGTTAAATTTTCATCATTTCTTTGTTTAATTTTCCGATCTCATATTTCATTTCATCAAAATCTCCGAAATTGAACTGTTTGCATTTTTCGAGATGTTAACTCCTATTTTCCGATTATTCAATTGAATTCCGATTTATGCATCTATGTAATTGAAATCAGAAGCGTGTATTGTATATTGTATAGCACTGATTGGAGTAAGCGAGATTTAGAACTGCAGTTTTATTTTGCTTTGAAATATTCTGTGATTTCAAATCAGAAGTTGATTTTGTGTACTTTAGATTTGCCTTTAGTACTCAATTCTGATATATGTTGAATGGCTTCATCGTTTGGTTATTGCAGATCCCCATGCTACCCCTAGAGTTGACATCTGGAAAGACCCATTGAGTCCTTCAAAATGGAAGGAAGAGCACGTGAGTTTCTAGTTTTGTGTTTGAAAATGAACTCTGCAGAACGTGAATTGTTATTTTTTATTTTATTGGAATTTATTTGTGTGTGTGAATGAATATTCCCGAGTTATAACTTGTTTTGTGGTTCCAGTTTGTGATTGCCTCGTTAACTGGCTGGGGAGTACTCATCTATGGGGGATACAAGTTATTTTCCGGAGGCAAGAAAGAAGAGGTACTTTGAATTTTTAGTTATCTCTGTTACAACCAAGAATACTGTTTTTATTAGCTTATAGCTATGTTCAACATGAGTGTGTATAACCTTGCTTGTTTATAACTGATTGGCCATGTACAGTACAATATATCCATAATTTTTGGGGGAATTCTTCACAAGCAGATGGAGCAGAGTAGTTATAGTTTTGATGATGAATCTCTAGTTTTATGTTTTGTGGATGGGAACTCAAATGAAAGAAACAGTTAAAGAAACTAATTGTATTCTTGATTGGAAATTTATATTTATGGCAGAAGAAAATTTCCCTGTAAACCCATAGCTAGGGCTCCTCAGAGAAGGGATAGTACTGTCTCCTCATCCTAAAAGGTTTGAATTGAAAATTGACGCCGAAAGATTCCCTTTCCATTTTTCCTGCACTATGCTAAGCTGCCAACCTCTGCTAATTGACACATAAGCAATCTTCCCCTAACTCCCCTTCTCTACCCCTTTATTGGGCTTTGACCTATGAGGTATTCTAACAGGTTCTATTTAACACTCTGAGGCAACTGCAGTTTTGTTTTTCTTTTGAAAGTTCAGAGTTTAGAATGCTTATTTGAAGAAAAATGTTGGTTTATTTCTTCTATTTGTCAGTGAAGACAGTAGTTTTTATTTTTGAATCCATATTAGAAGGCAAGATAGTAATTTAGATGAGCTCAGAGCTTGCTGCAATACTTCTATGAATCAGTAAGAGTGAAGAACATAAACTATTTGTATTTTTCTAGTGCTTTTTGTATCATGTACTCCTTCCATTCCTTATGTATAAGCAAATTTTGCAAAGGTAGTGCATGTCATGTTAATTACATCTGATCTGAATCTTATTTGGTAGTTGTTAAAATTTTAGCTTTTACTCACCAAATGTGTTGATTTTTTATTGTTGCAGAAATTACCTGAAGCGGCACATTGATGTTTGCAACATAGTAGAACCGTTTTCCTGGTAATAATGGTGTGCTCGGGCCTTTTTTTGGGTTTTTTAGACTGATCATGTTTGCTGGCAAGCAAACCTTTTGCCTTGTTATCAAATAATTCTTACAGACAGTGAATATTTGAAAATGGTTCTTTCCATAACGTTACAATATTGTTACTTTTAGCGTTATATTTGCCCATTTATGTCGAATCCCGATTTCAATTACATTTGCAAGCAAATTACTTTTGTTGATGTTATTATTACTACTGGAAGAAAGCTATAAATAAGTTTCCATTTTATCAAATACTCATCATTCTAGTACCATGGCAAAAAAGAGTAGTTCATTTCTCACCATAATGGTTCAAGCTATATACTCATGTTCCAATAATGTACCGCATTTGATAAATTAATTGCTGCATAGGTCATCCCAGTATTCATACATACTATTCTCAAGCATGACCCCTGAGCTTGCTGATGAAGTTTTGAGGATGAGTCCATCTACTGTGTGTTTGACTGTCATCATGGATGTTGCAAAAGTTTGAGTGGATAAATTATTCAGTCTAAAATGTGAGCGCAATGTCTAATATTTACTAAAATAAACAAGAAAGTTAAATAGCACACACTAACCTTCCTTGAGGTTTTTCTAAACAGCACAAACACTCTAGCTTCCTAGTAAAACACCAACCCTTTTAGTTTTTTTATGGACACACGTCCCTTTCAACTTAGCACTGTCTATCCTCCTTTAAACCCTCCACTTTTACACATTGTCTGTCCTTTGTGAGTCACGAACACGTAATACTTGTTACACGGTTATCATATCCAACCTGCTTTGTTTTTTTAATCAAAACATATTGTTAAACTCTACTAGGTAAATAAAAAATATTAAGAAAAGCTAAAATTTTATGATTTTGCCCAACCATTAATTTTAAAACGATAATAATAGAGTGCAGGTGAGAAATTTTGGATGACATTAATATGAATAATTTTCTTTATTTATTTTTTAAATGTAACTTTTAAAATGAATTGGTATATAAGACGGGAGAAGTAAAATAACAAGTGCATTGACTTTGACAGTATGTGAGGAACACCAAGCTTTCAAAACATTAAGAGTTGGTGTTGCTTTGTTTAGTGGTTAGGTGGAGACAAATCTTTATAATGTGACAACTAATTACAGCAGGCAATGTTCAACTGGACTATCAAAATATCAAATTAAAACTATAAGTGTTGGGTCACGAGATGTTAATGTATTGTGCCCAATGAGAAATTTTACCTCATACCCCTACAATTATATCCATACCCCTACATTAAATTTTTTTGGACCAAAATATCCTTGTATGAAAAGTTATAATTTTTTGGTTTGTTTACCGGAAGACTTTTTGGAAGTCTTCCGGTTCACATTTTTTTGGTTTGTTTACCGGAAGACTTTTTTGGAAGTCTTCCGGTTTACATTTTTTTTTATTTGTTTACCGGAAGATTTTTTGGAAGTCTTCCGGTTCATGTTTATTCTTTTATTTATTTTTAATTTTTAATTTTTTTTAATATTCAAATTACAAATATATTTATTCTATTTACTCTATTTTAGTTAATTAATATATTTATTCTATTTACTCTATTTATTCTATTTATTTATTTAATAATAATTATTCCACTAATTTAATTTTTTATTAATTTATTCTTATTTATTTACTTAATAATAATTAATTCATTAATTTGGTATTGTTTTTTTTAATCAATAAAAATAAAAGTTGTTAACTAATTTATATATTAATTGTGTTCTTCAATTTAATAATATGTTTATATGAAAAACAAAAATAAATATCATATTTAAATTATAATCCAATCATTTCTTTTGTCAAAAAATTTCACCAAAAAATTATAGTATATAACATTTATAATTATTTAAACAATATTTTATAGGGTAAAATATTAACTTTTAAAAATATATTTTATGGGGTAAAATATACTTTTAAAAATTTTCACCATAAAATATTAACTTTTAAAATTTGTAGGGGTAAAATATTTTATGGGATAAAATATTAACTTTTAAAATATTAAAAACTAATTAAATCATAAATATTAAAAAGTCTTCCGGTAAACAAACCAAAAAAATGTGAACCGGAAGACTTCCAAAAAGTCGTAAACAAACAAAAAAAATGTAAACCGGAAGACTTCCAAAAAGTCTTCCGGTAAACAAATCAAAAAAAATGTGAACCGGACGACTTGCAAAAAGTCTTCCGGTAAACAAACCAAAAAATTATAATTTTTTATACGAGGGTATTTTGGTACAAAAATTTTTAGTGTAGGGGTATGAGTATAATTGTAGGGGTATGGGGTAAAATTTCCTGCCCAATGTTGCAAAGTTTGAGTCGATAAATATATCAGTATTTAACGTGAACAAAATGTCTGATAATACTAAAACACAAATATAGAAAGGTGAAATCAGAATTCACTCACATCCTATTCCTAAGATGACATTGGTAGACTCTAGTCAGTAATTTAAAATATTTTCAAACTCAGTAAACCCAACCCACAGCATGAGTACTAATTTAGATGGACATACTAAATCCAGTTTCATTACAAACCACTCTGGAACTCTGATTCGTCTGTTTCCTCCTTGTACTCTTCTTTCTCACTTTCATCTTCAAAATCTGATTGGGATTCGTTGAGGAAACTGCCGGTATTATCCTCCTCACCATCATCCCCTGCATCTTTCTCTTGCTTATTCAAATCTGAAACTTCAAATTCTTTAGACTCTTGATGCAACATGTTGGATTTCTGTTGTTCAGCATTATTGATACGCCTCCTGCTCATGTTTTGTTGGACACTACCATCTTCATGCTCTTCCTTGTAATTATTGATTCCACTGTCTGTCACCTGCAGATTAGTCATAACCACTGTTGTGTTGCTGTGATCTTCACTAATTTCATGGTTTTCAGGCTTCAACAATTTCGCCTGTGATTCGGCTTCTCGTTGGTTATTGCTGTCATGTTCACTGTTTTCATGGTTTTCAGTCTTCAACAGTTTTGCCTGTGATCCAGCTTCTCTTTGGTTATTGCGGTCCCTTTCCTCATCAGAGTCTCTTACAACTGTTCCATTGTTATCCTTTCTGTAAACCTTTCTGTTGCTCATGTTTACCTCTCCATGACTTTCAGAAATCCCATTATTCTCCATTAACTTATTCTCAACGATGGTTCTCCGGTGCTTCCTTTTTGTTTTACTTAAATAGCCTTGTTTTCTTTTCTCTCCAGACAATTGCTTCGCATTGAAATCTCGTCTTTCACCATCTGTGTTCATCTCGAGTTTTCTTTGATGCTCTTCTATGATTTCTTTCTTATCCTCCAACACTTCAGCATCAGTATCTTTTGCAGCGGCACCATCATCTTCAGAATTGTCATTTTTCTTTTCCGGCTTATCATTAGTCTTAATTTCTTCTTGCGTTTCAGCTGTTACCTTCCCATCTTTGAACTCGGTTAATTTGCTTCTATCTTCATCACCTCCATTTTTGGAATTTTCATCTTTTTCTTGATTATCATTCTGAGTTTTACCCTGTGCTTCCGTTGTTGCATTCACATTCGCTGCCAGAGTTTGATCAAAGATGGGTGTTGGATGTTCATTAATGATTACCCCGCTGCTGGTGGTCTTAACTAGGGTATCTTGTTTCTCTGCTTCCTTTTTCTTAAGATTCTCTCTTGATGCCATCTTTTCAAATCCTCTTTGTTCCAAATTACTCCCTCTTTCCTTCATCCTTCTTAGCTCACGCTGCTGCACCACGAACGCAGATTCTATTAGTTTTTGCTCATCTTTAAGTGAATTCATGGTAGATTTCATCCCAGCAATTGTTCTAGCAAACTCCATCTTTTGACTACTCAGGGTGTATATTTTTGCCTTTGTCTCTTGGTTCTTCCTACTCAACTCTTTGGTGCGATCTTTTTCCTTCTATGGAATTGAAAAAACCAAAATATTAAGGAACGTATATACTACAGAACAAACATCATCATAATTGAATTGAAAATGCAACATCTTTATACTACAGAACAAATAATAAAATTGCTAACAGAAGATCTGAGAAATGTTTTGTTGATTTCTATACATATAGTATCAGAGCTGTCTTCGAGGATATGCAAAACGGGTTACAATACAGATCCAAAATTTGACATGGTTATACAGTGGCTAAAGGGGCCTCTTAAAGTATTTGCCACGGTTAAGCCATGACAAAATAGGATCCTATCTATTTTTCCACAATTAAACTATGATTGAAAACTTAAGACGACTTTGTACAAGATAGGACTATATTGATAAATGTCTCAGCACATTGATTTAAGAGAGAGTAACAGACCTGCAAGAGAAGTTGAAGGGTAATAAGCTGATGATCTTTTTGTTTGACAAGAAGATTGAAAATGCGTTTCTCTCTAAACCGGTGAAGCACCATAACACCAAAAAGTGCAGCCCCAAATGTCATGAGCAATATCAGCAAATAAGGCCTTCCTTTCTGACTCACTCCATTGTGATGCATCCCTTTGCTGTAACCCATCTCTCTTTCTTTTTCTAGATAAGAGATGCTTTATCAATTAAGGTTGATGCAACCCCAATGAAGAATGGAGTGGTTTCTCTTCTCTCTTTCTTTTGTAACTCTTGTGATGAGGTTGCTTCTCATACAAAAAGAAAGTGCCACCTAATCATACATGGCGTTATATTTGTGGTAATTATGCATGGAAATTGTGTCGGGGCACTGATTTCCAAGACTTCTCACCTTCGGTTTCCAATGCATCTATCTATAACACCCTCTTCAATTAAACTTGCAACGTTATTTATCTAGTATTTCTTTCATTTCTAGTTATGTTATATTCTTCTTAAAAAAAAAAGTTTTTATGCAAAATTTATCTGGACCATAATATTTACCATATTTAATGTGAAATTTATTTAAATCAATTTAATTAATCAATCACTTAAATGTGAAATCCAATGTACCTCAAAATTTGAAACAATTGAGTGACTTCCACCTAACTTAAAAACGAGTAAAGAGGATTCAATAGTCATGGAGCTCATGTGGGAAGTGGAAACAATGTGAGCACAACTAATTTCTTCTCTTCGACGTAAAAGGGTAGAAGTAGTAATTGTATTTAATTTGCACTAACTTGCATATATTAGTTGATGTCATTAAAACCCTCTTCATGGTTATAATATACATGTTAAAATTACAGCTAAAGCTATTTTTTATCTTTTCATTTACGGTCACTTATACATAGGATGTACTTTTATTTTAGCTTAAAAAAAATGATGATAGTTTGACGACTCTTAAAAGTTTTTCAACTCAACATGTATGTTTGATTTTTTTTTTTTTATCTATTAGTCTTTTTCTGAATAGGAATTAGAAATGAGTTGAGGTTGAATGATCTTTTACTATAATTGAGCGGAGGTGGATTTGTATGATTTGCACTAACGTTTAAGACACAGTGAATGAATGAGAAAATAGTTTGAGTGCGTGAATAAAAAGATCTCTAAAATGACGTGTGTTGCGCTTTATATAAGACGGACGATTAAAACCGTCTTCATGAGATTTGACACCTCTTGCAGATGGTCGTCATATCACATCCAACGATGGAAAGTGGGCTAAAGCTCAGAATCACATGTTCTCAATTAGAGTTAAGGTCTCATTTTTTTGCGCGCCTTTCTGTGCCATGATTGCTATTGGGCCTTTCGTTGTAGGCCTTATGAACGATCCATAACAGTTGTCCAAGTTCTTGTTCACACTTTGTTCGCCTGCATTTTCGGCGAACAATCTTTACCCTCTTATTAAAGTTTACTTGCAGGATCGGCTATTAAAAATTCTAGAGTAAGTGTTAAGTATAGAATGATTGCTTGAGTGTTTGGGTTTGGAATGGTAGATAAATAAACGACGTTCGTACAACTGAGGTAAATCAATGAGAGAATAAGACAGAAATCGCAAAGGAAAATGAACTGAAACAAAGACTTAGAAAATAAATTGCATAAATTGTAAGTTGGACGAATGCATACATTTGTGTGGAAATGGCTCGTTTCTCTTAGACGTTGATACTTTGATTGTATTCTTTTCAATGTTACAAAATGTGATCCCTGAAACTGAAATTAAACTTTAGTTAAATAGACCTAAGAAATAACTTCTACTTCGATGTCGACCATCCACAGCCTGCCACGCGTCTAACCATGCACTCCCACTTCTTGGGTAACTCCCCCACATTCTCGTCAGTTACAAACTTGCTCATTTTGCTTGCCTTCGACATCAATCAAAATGAATTTCTGTCAAGCTTGCTACGAATTCCTTCTGGCGGGTGGTCTATCGAGACTTCTTCGACCTTGGTCTGTAGGATCTTCCATCGAACTTGCTTCGTATCGCGGTGAGAATTGAATATCAAATTATTGGATTAACTTGAATCTTAATTCATGCTTCACCACCGGTCTTTAATTTGTCCAAAGAAAGGGAAAAAGATCGAATTACCCAAGATGCAATGCAAATGCAAAGCTAGAGAGTCTAAGGTTCGGGGGTTGGTTAAACTTAGGGAAGGTACTAGCATCCTAAGAATTTGTAGTACTCTATAGGAATCTCTTGTTTTATGTGTTATTGTTGTATGCTAAGGGTGAAAGACCTAGTGGTTTATTTCTAAGTATACTCGCCAAGAAATCGCATCTTGTGCCTACGTATCCTGACGGGATTGGAATCAGAGTATTCGTAGTTCCCCTAAAAGGGACCGAGGAACCATTAACTGTTGGTTAAAGTTCCAGAGGGATAAGGTTTTGTTGATTGATTGTAGGAGAAAAGAAGAGTTGTCATCTTAAGGGAGAACACTCGATTTAACCACCACAACTTGTAGGAGATGGTCTTTGCGTCGCATTAAGAGAAGGACTCAAAACTCGGATTCATCGACGAGTATGCCTCATACCTCTCTCAAGCGGAAAAGATCCTATATCTCTCGATTGTATTATGGGGCAGGAGATTTATCTCGACTGTCAAGATGACTCACGTCTAATTCTCTTGTATGGAGAATAGCTGGTTGAATTGTATTGAATCAGTTTATCTAAGTTGAAAGGTAAAAGAGAAAATGGTCCTCCTTAAGGGGTAAGATCTAAGCCTAAGCTGATCCACTTGAGAACTCAAGGATCAAGGCGGAAATATGATGCAAATGAGGTGTAATACGCACAACTTATGAAGTCATGCGCAGGTTCTTTCTTTGGATATTACACATGTGTATAAAACAAAATAATAATAAGGTAGCATAATTAAACCCAAACAAACAGATATAGATGCCAAAATCAAGGCAAACGCTTAACCAACGAGTCCTTGCGAGCGAGGTCGTTAACATTCGAATCGGATCGGAGTTAGAACGGAAAGTGGAAACGTCGTGTTAATTAAATTCTACGTAAATTATCATTTTAAGAAAATTAAATTAAGAAGATAAATCAGCCCTTTAACAAAATTTTAAATTAAGGTTATGAATTAATTAGGTTTTTCTAGATAGAAACAATTTTAAATAAGTAAAGGTTTATTAAATAAATAATATGATTTTCTTATTAAATATATAAATTGTTTTTGTTATTATTATTTTGTTTTACTAAATAAAATTTATTCTAAATATATGAAATAGGGTTTTTTTCTTTTAATTTATGATTAAGATAGATAGTTTATAAATAAGTAGATAAGTGTTGATGAAATAAATATTTAATTAGTTAATAAAAAGTAAATAAGATCAATTAATTAATTAAATAGATAAGTGATTAGTTAAAATAAATAAAAAAAGGATTAACTTATTAAATGAAAGGTTAATTAATTTATATGATTAGGAAAAGATTAATTAAATTTTAATGATTTATTAGTTGAAAAAAAAGTTTATTGGGTTAATTAAATATTAAGTTTATTATTAGTTAATAAGTGGCAGATTAAAGGGGAATTAATGGGGGGCGAGACAGATCAGGTGTGGTAGGTTAAGGGAGGCCTACCATGAGGTGCAAATGTGGATCGTGGATAGTGATCAGGTGGAGGATGAGTGGTCATGATGAGAGGATTGTAACACCCTATTTGAATTATTTAGTCATTTTATACTTTATTGTGTGCATTTTGGTTGTGATGTCTTTGATAAGGATAGGAGGTTAATGGCAGGAGGGAGAGGTGACCTTAGTTGGGGGTAATGTGGACCTAGAATAATGGATAGTTTAATAACAAGAGTAAGAGCATTATGATTATTAATATTATTATTTCAATTAATAATAATAATATTAATAGGATTATTATTATTATTATTATTATTATTATTATTATTATTGTTATTATTATTAATTAAATTAAATGAATTAAAAACCTGATTAAGGGGTTAAGAGAGGGTTAGTGGAAGAATTAGTCAGTTAACACGTGAAAGAGGAAAAAGGCAAAGAAAGGAGAGTTAGAGCAAAAAAAACCAATTCTCCATTATTGTCAAGGAAAAAGCTTCAATCTAAGGTAAAGGGGGAGAATGGATTTCAATATGGGTGAATTAACATGAGAGGATAGTGAGAGGTTCTTTCTCTCGTAGAATTCTGTTCGTTCTTGCTTATTGGTCTGATTTTCGTAACATTATGATTCTTCTTGTAAATTGCTGTAATTGTTGAATATTCTGATCTGGTGTTGGGTGAACGAATCTAGAACTGATCTAAAACTCGTGTGAAAAGTTATGAACACTGTGGGGAAATTATGACAAATGTTAGATCTGAGAATTAAGGGTTTAACGATAATCGAAATTAGATCTAATAAGTAGAATCTTGAAAGAATAGAAGATATGATTCATTGGAATCGATTAAAATATGAGTTTTAGGATAAATGGGAAGATAGGATGATGAATCTTGAGTAGAAACTCGTGAGAATGATGAGATCTTAGTTTTTTGACAGATCTGCTGGTCATACGCGCATGGGAGGTGTCAATACGCGTATAGGGGACTTCCCAAGGGGTTGTACGCGTAGTAGACGTGCCCCATCCCCAGTTCCAGCATGACCATCTGATGATACGCGTATGATATGCGTATGGGCCTGGGCAATACGCTTATGGGGGTAGTCATATGCGTAAGGGGTGACTCTGAGGGGTTTTGGGAGGTGAAAGCCTCTGGTCATACGCGTAAGGTAGGGCTGATACGCGTATGACAACAGACATTACGCGTATGGACCATGTTGGTACGCGTAAGGACAATCTGGGATGACTTTTCCCCAATTTTTGTGATTTCTGTCCAGTGTTCGCTTGGAATGCATTTCCGTTGACTCGGTAGGATTAATAGGACTAAAATGAACTTAAGGGAGATTAGTAATGAATTAAATCGAGGGAATATGTAATGTTATGTGTGTGCCCTTAGGGGTGTGTTTTGATGAGTGTGAGCCATGATTGACGAATGTGGGCAATCTTGTGCGATTGTGGTAATTCCCTAGAGGATTACAGTGAGTGGATGACTCGCGTGGATCATTGATGATCGTGAATTATGCTTGAATTATTATATTGCATAATTGTGTTGTCATGCATTTCATGTCATGTGTCTTGT